ATGCGCTTTACACAATTGATGTGTGTATGGATTGCCATAACAGTTGTATGAGCCCCTAATAAAATGTTTTTTAAAAAATAAGACTAAAAGAAAAGTAATTGTTAAGTTTTTCCCTGGTCTGTGGGTTCTTTTTACTCTTGGTGAACTCTTCCGATGCACACAAGTGTCACGTTTTCAGCAGCTCCCGGCTACCGCGTCTGTCTTCTGACCTGTGTGTTTCCTCGCGGTTGATCGTGTCCTCATTGCCATGTACGGGCCTCTGTGTTTGCCCTATTTTTTCATTAATGATTTTAGTAGATCTAGGGTTTACAATGAGGTCTTTAATGCATCTAAAGTTCACTTTTGTCTATGGACTAAGGTATGAATCCTGTTTTATTCTTCTGTAAGTGGAAATCCAGTTTCATCAGCACCGTTGTTAGACTGACTTTCTCACCTGATGTTTCAACCCCGTCAGCAACCCGTTGCCTGTGGGTGGGTGGACTTTCTTCTGGTTTCTCGTTTCTGTGTGTCTGTCATTGGCTCAGTAGCAGGCTGGTTTGACTACTGTGGCTGTGCTAGGTTTTGACGGGTTTCTATGACGAAACAGGAATACTTTCCATGTTTCTCTGTGAAAGAGTCATGTTGGGCGGTGGTGTTTTGTGCTGTGCTTTTACTGGGTTCAGGAATCTCCCTTTATTCCCTACTTTGTTGGGTGTTTTTATCAGGAATGGGTGTAGGATTTTTCCAAATATTTTTTTGTGAGTTATCATGTGGTTCTTTTCCTTTATTTATGTGATGGATATACGTCTTTTGGATATTAAGCCATCCTTGCATAGCTGGTATGGATCTCGCTTGGTGCTGATGTATTGGCTGAGATTTTGTTCAGAGCTTTTGCATCTATGTTCATGGGGGGTTTTAGTCTCAAGTTTTGTAGGAACGCCCTTGCCTGGTTTTCGTATCACAGTTATAATTTCTTTGTAAAATTAATTTTTTTCAGCCTTTTCTACCATCCCAGGTAATTCAAGTAGAATTAGTATCAGCTGTTCACAGAATGTTTGTGGAACTCGTCAACACAGTCATCGGGCCCGCCCTGTGTTGGTTGGAAGCTTTGAATGATCTAATTGGTTTCTTCTGTCCTTATGTCAGTCGAGCCCAGGTGGTGTCGCTGTTACTTGTTACATGTTGGGCCGAGAGCAGCAGGGTCGGCAGTTTGAAACCACCGGCAGCTCCATGAACAGTCTCAGAACCCCGCAAGGGGTCCCTGTGAGTCAGCATTGACTGGTTGCCAGCGAGTTTATGATGTCAGACTCTCTACTCCAGTCTGCGGTAGATTATGTGGACCGTGTGTTTTAGAGACGTTTCCATCTCTGCTGGGTTTTCACGTTTGTTGAGACTCAGTTCGTCATCGTGTTCTGTGTTTCCTTTTCAGTTGGTTCTGTTGTGGTGTCGCCCGTTTAACGTCTTATTCATGTTACTTGCTCCGGCTCCTTCTTACGCTTTGTTACCTCTCCTAAGCTTCTTGACCTTCAGTTTGGGTCCCTCAAGAGATCCCCACACAACTGTCCTGTGGGCACTCAGCACCCACCCAGATTCCAGCCTCTTCCCTGACACTCCCACGGCTTCCTCCTGCCTTTTGAGCGTGGTACTGAGCGCCTCCCAGACTGCCCTGCTACGCTCAGAAGAAGGTGGCCCCTCTGGGCAGTTGCATTACAGCAGGTATCTTCCCCTCCACCATGGAACCTGTGAGCCAGGCCAGTGTCAGTGCTCATTCAGCAGAGCAAGGCTGGCCTGTAGCTACTCTTGAGCCCGTAGCCAGGCCTTACGCAGGGCAGAGTCCACCAGTGTACTTACCTACTCCCTCCCTCCTCAGTCTTTCTGTGCCCGGTCCCCCCTACCCCCCCCCATCACTTCTGATCGCTTGAAAAACAAAGCAAAGCAAACAAAGCAAACCTCCAGGATCCAGTAAAGCCCTGGACACTTAGCCCTTTAGGGTCATTCCTGTAATTTCTTCCCCGTCATTCCCCCTGAAATCCTCTCTTGTATTCCACATTCCGCCTTCTTTCTCACTGGTAGCCTGTTTCAGAGTATAGGCTCATTGAGAGTAGACACAGCCTCTTCTTGTCCTATGTCCTCACAGCCTCCTCTTGCGTGCACGCGTCCCAGGCTCACTGTCTTGAGTGGGAACTCTCTCCAGTGCGGGTGGGGTGGGGTGGGGGGCCTCTGCCTCCCAACAGACAGTACAGTACAGGGGCACTAGTGGCTCCGTGGCAGGCTGCTCGTCTGCCAAAGAGGGAGGTCTTGCCATTGCTTCTCAAGCACAAGGAGGCTTGCTAGCAGGTTTCAGCCGGGCTTCCCGACAAAGACAGACTAGGAAGAAAGTCCGGGCAACCTGCTTCTGAAAGAAACAGTCAAGGAAAGCACTGCAGCCCAGCCCCGCCAAGCTGATGGTCACCGTGAGTTGTGGCTGACCCCACAGCAGCCAGCGCTAACAGCGGCACTGTAATATGGTGAGTGAGAAGGTGCCCTGCTTAGAGGCAGACTGCTGCTGCTTTCTGTTCAGCCTGAGCATGTTCCGCAGTCCGAGCTCTGGTCTCTCATTATAACTGCGCATCGTTACCATACCTGTGTCAGAAGGGAAAGTGAGAGTGAAGTAAGTTATGGCATATAACCTACCAGACAGAGAGTTGCTGTTGTCACCTAGGTCACTAAACCAGTCCAGGAGGGTAAGTTCTACAGAAGTAAAACCAGGAAGGGGGTTGGGGTGTGTGTGTGTGTGTGTGTGTGTGTGTGTACACGCGCAGTTGTAGAGATGGGCAAGTCCCAAGTCCATGGGTCAGATGTCAGGCTGGAGGCTTCTCCTGACTGGCATAACTGCTAGGGTTGATGAACCCGAGATCATTAGGCCAGACCACAGGCTTCTGGTGCAGAGATGAAGGATTCAAGGTTGGTAGGTAAGGCGGCAGGCCGCTGAAGGCAGTGTGGCACACCAGAAGCGTAGTTCCAAAGAACCCGAGGCTGATGTACCACATACAGGGCCCTGATCCTGCAAAGAGCACACGTTTTCCCCAGAACATCCCTTCTATTGGAAGCAGGCCACTCCCCTGAAGAGATCTCGTCATGGGGGATTACTAGGTCTTTACTGCCAAACCCTGAGACCCCTGGCCCGGCCACGGTGATGCAGAACTCAGTCACCAGGTGCAAGTCAGCCTGACAACACCCAGATGGTGTTGCTGTTAGCTTGAAAAAACTCTCTTCTTTCTTACAAGTAGACGCTCCCTGGCTTAATGAGAGAGACCTTCTCTTATTATATACTCATTTCCTATTGAAGTTATGCCTTTCCCTGTATGAATTTAGATGCTCAGCTTAACTGATCCCCATTAGCTTGTATCCCTGCTCCTCCGCAGCTATGGTGCTGGTCCTGCCACAGCGGATGTGCCCTGTTGAAAATGTCAGCCCTGCCCAAAGAACAGGACGATGGCGTGTCACAGATCCAGAAAAGCTTCTTGGATGGGTCGGTACTGCGCACAGTCCCCTCCTGTGTATTTCCGTTTTCCCTATTTCCCAAGAAGCAGGGAGCAGTTCTTTGTCCTTTCTGTTTACCTGCTCTCACCTTACCTAGCTGAGTGCTTGGAAAGTTCAGTTTAATTGCTTTGGGAAGAGTCTGTATAATCTAATTATTAAAGTCTCCTCCATTTCTGTTAGAGATTCAGGTTGGAGGATTTCGGGGTGAAATGAATGGCATGACTATGGACACCGTAGGTTCCCAAACTTACTTGACCTACCACTCCCTCGGCACCCCCCGCCCCTTGCAGTTAAAAATGTTTGTAGTAGAGCCATCATCCAGGACAAAGTATCGGCATCTGTTTTGCAGCCCCCTGGACTGTTCAGCGCCCTCGGGGGATGGTCTGGTCCCTATGGGAAACACCAGGCTACAAAGTTAACAGTGTTGAGGTCTATGTCCTGGTGCAGAGCACTGTGTAGTTTCTTTTCTGGATGGTTGGAAATAGCCCCCTACCCAAAGTAGATGAATTACCAGCGAGTCCAGAAGCCAACTCTAGAGCTGTATTGCCTTGGTTCAGACAGTGACCCTGCCCGTTTATGGATCTCCTGGTCCCGGGCAGGTGGTTCAGCTCTTGTTTTCTATTTCCACACCCGTTGTCCAGAAAGAGCAGTCCTGCCCTGGGCCCTCGAGACCGGAGAGCCACAGAGCGCTAACACAGACGGCAGCACCCAGGAAGAGCCGGGGGGAGGAAGCAATCCCCCTCACCTGTGCTTGCCTGATCGGTCATGTCTTTTTGATCCCTAGGATTAACAAGACCATCCACAGGCCACCCTACGAAATTTTGAAAACCGAGGACCTGTCAAGCAACTTCCTGTCCCTGCAGGAAATCCAGACGGCATACTCGAAGTTTAAACAGCTCTTTCTGATAGGTGAGGAGAGTACTGAGCAGAGCTTTATGCCCACTGAAGGGAGGCTTGCCCCACAGAGGACGGTGCCCTGAGGGGCCGCATGGACACTCACTCAGGACGCATGGCCCTGTGGTCCCAAGACAGCGTCCACTTTGACACACCGCCTGCCCAGCTCTCTCCAGGCTCGGGCCCCCTGGCCCCCTTCAGGAGGCAGTGCTCAGAGCCACGACTTCCGTCCCTGGTACTCCAGCTGCCCAGCATTGAGCACCTTAGCGCTCTCTTTCCGCGCCATTGAACTAATGCAACACTGTGTTCACAGTACTGTAGAAAGCCCTGATCTGTTTGCTTCCTTTAGTGTTGGTCAGTATTGAATCGGTTTTAATATTTAGAAGAGGAAATACTTTTTTTACATATAGACTATCCAGAGGTGCTTCTAACCGGTCATGGAAAAATAGAATTAAAAAATAATGAGACTTTTTTATGACCCTTTGAAGCTCCCTCATACGCACACACACACATTTTGACAAGGTAAAAAAATTCAGTTAATCAGAAATGTACTCTGCGGCAATGAGAGAAGCGCATCCCAAACTCCCCGCTCTGCCCGGGCTGCCCTCTGTGACCAGTGGGAGCTGCAGTCCTGCAGGAGCACATTCCATCGCCTGTTGATGTGCTTCACCTTGAATCTGTCTGCACGGTCTGCGATTCGGTGGTTGAAGCTCCACCGAGTGCGTGCACTTTGAGGATCGTGAGAAAGGTGACCAGGTGCCAAGAGCCCGTCCTCTGCTGGGGAAATGGAAACTCATACACGGCCAGCTCACCATGGCCCTGCAGGACAGGGCAGAACTGCCCCTGTGGGTTTCCCAGACTGACTCTTCCTGGGAGCGAAAGCTTCGTCTCTCTCCCGCAAAGCAGCTGGGGGTTTTGAGCCACGCTCTGACGGCTAACAGCCCACTGTGCACCCACTGCAGCGCCAGGCCCCTCTGGGAAGTGAGAAGGCACACCTAGCCAAGACACTGGGTGCGTGTTTTAACAGATGCGGTAGACGGGAACTTGGAGGAGAGCCCTCATTGATGGAGGGCTGTGACTCTTCAGCGGTTACTGTTGATCCATCTCGGATGTGCAGGTCTTGAGCTCAGTGCGTCATCTTTAAACCTGCCAAAGTCAAAGCTCTCTCACCAAGTACGTGTGGGGCTGGCAGAGTGGCGCTCAAGACACCAGTGTATTTCAGGTTGTGCTGTGGGCGTCAGGTCCATGGCAACGGGGCATGTTCTAGGAACAGAACCACAGGAATAGTAGCCTGGGTGGTGACCATTTTGGCCCTAGATAAGTCACTTAAGCCCTGTGCTGACTCCCAAGGTAGACCAAGGCTCTGCAGCCCAACTGTCAGGCGTGTCTTCCTTGAGCAATAAAGATCCCGCATCCTTTCAGGAGCCTGATGCTCAGAACCCACTTTGGGAGCTGCCCTACTGGCGAGTGGAGATGAGTGCTGCCTGGACCGTGCAGTGTAACCGAGACCCACAGAGCGGCACCCCGTGCAGCCCAGGCTCTTGTGAGAAGCAGATGGGCGAAAAAGGCCCTGACTTCTTGACTCCATTCTTCTCTTTCCAGATAACAGTACTGAGTTCTGGGACACCGACATCAAATGGTTTTCTGTGCTGGAAAGCAGCAGCTGGCTTGACATCATCAGGTATCGCAGGCCCTTCTGCTCAGGAATGTGTAACTCATTCGGGGTTGTCTCGTCGTCATCGTCGTTCCATCTCATAGCGGCCCTATGCACCATAGAACGAGGCACTGCCTGGTCCCCTTGTTGCAGCCACTCAGCTAACCCACCTCTTAGAGGGCCTACCTATTTATCCCTGACACTCATCTCCACAAGCATGATGTCCTGCCCTGGGGACTGGTCTCCAGACAGCATGCCCAAAGGACAGGAGACGGAAGCATTCTGACCATCCTCCTTCCGAGACAGGTCTCGGTGTCCTTTGGGTCCTTTCACGCGTCTTCGCCAGCACCATCATCCAAATGATGTAGCAGAGCACACAGGCACGAAACTCAGCCGCCTTCTGCCTCGTGGTTCCATGTTCTTAGATCCTGTGCTTTGTTGAGGGCTCAGCTGCCTTGTGCCAGGAGGCCTCAGACAGTTCATGGATGTGTGGTAATGAACGGAAATGGGGTTTACACACACACTTGTGTGAAGCCCCCTCATATGTGTGCTGGTTAAAAATTTTGTGCACATCTGATAAGACTTTGCAACGTGGTACCAGCTGACAGAGAAATGTCCTCTGCGGTCTGGGCATTGAAAGGCGATAAAAGGGGGCGTGGCGACCCAGAACTAGAACTGAGGCCGCCCTGCTTACCTCCAGCGAGGACACTGGCAGGTGGGGACGGAGGGCTACTAATTTGTCTTTGACTAGCCTTTGTACATTGTGTCTTATGCACCTATATCTACTAAAAGATTTTTTTTTTTAATTTTAAGTCATGATTATGTCGAGTAATGACATTTGGTTTTGGAGTTCAATTGAGATTCCCAGAGAGCAGAATTAGATTCTCTCTCCTGCTCCCCACTTGGAGAGCTGTCTCTCTCAGAGAGCAGGGCAAGGGAAGGGGGGAAGTAGACATGAGGACCGAGGGAGGAGAGACAGAGAGGGAGCCTCAGCCACACGCCGCTCAGGCAATGAGCATGGAAGGGCTTGCTCCCCGTGCTGTGACCGCTGTTTCCAAGGGGAAGGAGCCCCTCAGTGTGGTGCAGCAGAGGACGGTCAGCATCATTACCAGATGAGGCGGGGCCACTGGAGAAGGAAGAAGAGAGGGTCCCCACTCCGGGCAGCAGCACACGCAGAGGCCCCGGGACAAGTGGCAACGGGTAAAAAGGGCATAACCCATCTCCAGAGTCACCAGGACTTCTGGTCCCTCAGGATCTGCCCAGCCATAACAGCACATCTGGGCGGTGGCTGGAGTCAGCCTATGTGGACTGGCACTCATTCTCCCAGGCAGGGCCCGGGTCTCACTGGAACTCCCCAGCAGAGTTCGGTATGAATTTCCAGCACACATGTTTCATGCAGAACCTGCCTAGGGGCATTTTTACATCCATTCGGGGATTCCCTTTTTTATCATCAATGGACACTACCCCCCCCCCAGCCCGCCGCCCGTATCTGAATAGTGTTAATGGTCATGTGTTCCTTTTCTAGAGGATTCCAGACTGTCTCCGGACTCCTCCTTATTTATGCTACTGAGATGCACAACTAATGCCCCTTTATCTCATCTCTCACCTGTTTAGACGCTGTCTCAAAAAAGCCATAGAGATTACAGAGTGTCTGGAAGCACAAAACGTGAACGTTCTTCTCTTAGGTAATATGTGAAGCACCAAAGATGTGTGCCTCTCCCCTTCACCGAGACCCCGTCTCTGTGGGGCCCAGAGTGCCTGGGAGGGGGCTGAGTGGGGCCAGGGGCCTGGCCTGCCCGTTCTCTGTTGCTGGAGCCTTCTCCCCGAATGTTCACACGTGGTCACTCAGACATTAGCTTGGGCCATTTCTAAGCCTGGGGGTCAGAGACGTCTTTATAGGAGCCACTGGCATAGGGTAGTTTGGGTTTGAAATAGCCAGTCAGCAAAGTTAGCATTGCAAGTTAAATATCAGCGCTTTCACTGGAACTTGGCACACCTGTTCTGGGCCCAAAAAGGAATTGCTTGGCATTTTTACCAACACAAATTTCCTTAGATTTTGAAAAATTTTTGACTCGGTTAACTTTATAATCTTTTGATAATCCTGTTTACCAAAAGAAGTCCTGGAAAGGGTTTCAGTATTTTCTTTGTATTTCTTATATATGTGCCCGCTTCACGGGGCTGCCCTATGGACTCGGCGACCGGAGGTTTCCTTTCCCTTGGCGGGCATTACTAGCCGTGGTGGAGAGGTGGGTGGAGGAGGTCTGGAATCTGTTAGAGCAGTGTGAAGTGCTTGCTATGCAGTTTAAAACAGGTGCCCTCATTGGTGAGAGCTGAGCAGGCTGTTGGGAGCTGTGAAGTTTCCTCCTGGTCCTTCTGCATGCCCCCGGGCTGGCGAGATGGCCCAGAGCCACTCCTCGGTGGCGCTTTCCTTGGCCCTGGCTCGCCCTGTAGGGACCCAGCGCTCCACCCATGGGGGGTAGCAGACTTGGGTGCCCGAGTGCTCTCCGCAGCTTGGTGACTCTGCACTGCTCTCCCCTTTGCCCTGGCCCAGAGGAGCACGCCTCTGACCTCTGCTGCATCGTCTCCTCGCTGGTGCAAGTGATGATGGACCCCCACTGTCGGACCAGGTTTGGTTTCCAGAGCCTCATCCAGAAGGAGTGGATCATGGGCGGCCACTGCTTCCTGGATCGCTGCAACCACCTGCGGCAGAGTGACAAAGAGGAGGTGAGTCCCCTCGGGGAGAGCCGCTCAGCGCTTACCGGAATGCTCGGGGGCTGACACGGGATCCCCAGTCCCCATTTCCAACGGAAAGGGAGCCGAGCACGAGCTCAGAGCCTTGCCCTCCCTGTTGTCGTTCAGGCCAGTGGTGACCGCCAGGAGTGTGCGTAGACCATGGTGAGAGCGGTGTTGGTCTGCAGCACCTGCACAGACGTGAACTCGGCGAGCAGACCCTGTACGGGCTGCTGCACGTGACTCTGCACGGGGTAGGTGGGAGGGTGGTGAGGGAGCAAGCTTCCCACGGAAAACACATTTTCTGAAGTAAATCTTCCTTCCACCCCACCCCCAGCCTTTTCACAAGGAAGCCTCTGGCATGTGAGTGGCATCTAGGGTGACGTCTAGGGGCTAGCTGCGTTCACAGCTTCCTCTGCCCCCTGGCTACATAGTTGCTCCAGCCTGGGACCGTGAGCAGCTGAGCTCATGCACTAGTCCGGGGGGATAAACAAATTCAGAGAGATGTATACATGTATAAGAAAGAGGTTTATATACAAGGGCAGTTGAATAGTGAGAAAACACCCCAGCCCAGTCCAGATCAAGTCCCCAAGTCCGATATTAGCCCCTATGTCCTATACCAATCTATAAAGTCCTCTTCAGACTCACGAGACACATGCAATGACGCCGAATGCAGGAAGATCACAGGCCAGTGGGTAGAAAGTCTTTGGATCCAGTGGCTTTGTAAGCATGTCAGCACTGGCAGGGGTCTCTATGTGACTGCTCCAGCTTCAAGGTCTGGTTGCATCAGGGTAGGTCCATGTGGCTCCTCAGGGATGTCTCGCAGGGAGTCAGCCGTGTCTGTAGAGTGTCCCACAGGGAGTGAACAGAGAGCGACAGAAGTCTTCTGTTGTCAAGGAGGAAAATACCAGAGTTTTCCCAGAATCCTCAGGGAAAGGCCATGCCCACAGAGGCCTCACTGGGTGTGACCCAACTGACGACTAGATTCCACCCATCCCTTCACTCTTAATCCTCTCAAGTCCCAAACTGACCCCAAGTTGTGTACGTGCCGCAGCTCCGTTGGGGAAAGATGGGCGTTCTAAGCCTGCGGTGTACTTGTGCAGGCCACCGCTGTCGCACGCCTGTGGCTGCAGGGTTGACGGCTGGGGACGGAAAGGAAAGCGGTAAGCGCCCTGTAATGAAGCACCTGTAGTGCTGGCAGCGCGACTCTGGTTTTTCTCCCTGGGGTGATGACAAGCATGTCTGGCTGTGTGGCGCAGGGCGGCCTGGCCCAGCATGCTGTGGGGACGCTTGCCATCGGGGGTGACCTGTGCAAGCTCTGGACTTTGACCCCTGAGCTGGATTCCCTGGCTGACTGAGCCCTGGAGCCAGCCCCTGGGCTGGGAGAAAGTGCAGCCCCGCCTGCCTCACCCGCAGAGCTGGAAAGGAGGCCGAACACGGCAGACACTCATCTTGGCTGCCCCTGCCTCTTCTCTCCGGAGCCTCACACGGGGTGGAGCGAAAGGCACCTCGTTCCAGCACAGCCCAAGCCGGGCCCCGACCGGTGGCGTGTGCACAGGGGGAGCTCACACGACACACACACGTTTTCATCGCTAACATGAAAAGTAGTGAGCCCATCCGGGGACGATTTGCTGGGAGTACAGGTCTACTAATGAGAAGAACGGAATTCTCTTCTTGGAGGGGGTAGCATGCTGTTTACGTGGAGTTAGAAGCTAGTGTTACTGCTGCCTTCATCGGGTGCAAGTGTCCGCTGCGGTGTCCAAATGAGGCTCTTCCTCATCTTTCATGCCTTTTCACCCTGGGGTGCCGCCAGGTGTTGGCACTAATCCGAAACCACGTGGCTTCCGCTGAGCACGTTCCCGCATGGGATGGAGTGGGGTTTTGAATCCTTGATTTGTGACTGGGGGGCTCAGACGTGGTCCTGCCTGAGGCATGAGGTGGCTGCCCCGGTGGCGCCCTTAGGGGCGCGCTCACCAGCAGTGATGCCATGGGCTGAGGTGATGTTTATGTGCAATTGGGGCAGGCTCCTGGTCTTTTGTACCTGGCCCGGCACACACGCATCTGTGTACCTGCAAGGCTCAAGCTCTGCTGATTTACCTCTCGAAACCTTTTAAGGCACTCCCCTGACGGCACTGGTCGCACGCAAGGAGTCATCTGCTCTCGCGGTGAGGACTCGCTGTCCTTCTGTGGCTGCCGGTGTTTCCGAGTCTGATGTTGTCACTGTCTGGCACCGTGGTCATTCGCACGCTGGTAGCTTTCCTGACACTGAAGTGGCAGGCAATTCAAGGAAAAGGAGGAGAAAATTCGGCGCACCCTCTGCAGTTACGATGTTCTAATAACTGTGATTGTCATTCAATCCAGAAAAATTTCACAGGCGGTTTTATTGTCAGCATTCGTACGATCTAAGAAACATTACATGAAAACAGATAGTAAGCATTCCTAAGGAATCTGTGTGATCTGCCACAAGAGGAGGCCCGTGGCGGCGGCAGTGGTCAGGGTGACACCGGGAGTTACCATGGTGACGCCACTGGGCTGCCCCCGTGCTTACTGAGTGACGCGCTCTTGTTTCTGTGCAGGTGCCTGTGTTCCTGCTCTTCTTGGACTGTGTGTGGCAGCTGGTCCACCAGCACCCCCCGGCCTTTGAGTTCACGGAGACGTACCTGACCGTCTTGTCAGACAGCCTGTACATTCCTATTTTCAGCACCTTCTTCTTCAACTCACCTCATCAGAAAGATGCTAACATGGTAAGGGATTCTCTCAGGGACCTATGGGTCTAAATAGAGTGCCGTAATCCTTGGGGGGAGGCGGCAAACGGCATGTATGTGACACCAAGTGCATACCCGGCCCTGCCCGAAGTGCTTCTCAAGTAGGAATCACCCACCCTCACCGCCCCGTGGGGAGCGTATCAGCCTGGTTCCTGAGGAAACGGAGGCCCAGAAAAGGAGAAGCAACGTGCCCACATGCGCACAGCGAGTTAAATCCTGGAGTTGGGCGTGCTGGGGCTGGGTATGAAGCAGAGGTTGAAGGGGTCCCTCGTAAAGACAGTTCTCCCTGACGTCCTCGCTTACCTGTGCCCCACAGTGCTGTGAGGGGCGAGAGGCCGAGCAGGAATCGAAGGGTTACTTTCCACTCTGGCCACTGCAGCTTGCGCTCCCGGGGGTTCTCTGGCCCTGAGCTGGCCTTGCACGAGGCACTCCACCAGACCCCACCATGTCAGGGAGAGCCAACACCTGGCTCCCCAAGTGTCTTTATGAACCAGGCAGTTCATTCCCGTCTGCCTTCTGAGCCTCCGTTTTCTTAAATGTAAAATTGCAAAACTACCAACGGCCTGGTGCCAGTGCCCAGCACACAGTGGCTGGCCTGTGGTCAAGCCAGAGAATAAGTCCTTCTTCACCCCCTCCTCCCCCTCCACCCTCACCTCACACCCCTGGTGGACACAGTGGAGGTCTGCTTCCTGTAAAAATGCCCCAGCTGGGTGGGCCTCGGGGTAGAGCAGGGCCCCCTCCCAAGTGGTTCCCTTCAGAACCGCACCTCTGTTTTCCCAGCCGCCGCTGGGCGCCGTGGTGACCTGTGCTTGTGTTGGCAGGGTAGGGAAAGCCAGGATGCACAAAGCAGCCCTTTGAACCTGCTCACCGTGTGGGACTGGTCCGTGCAGTTTGAACCTAAAGCCCAGACGTTATTCAGAAACCCCCTCTATGTGGAAAAGCCAAAACTGGACAAAAGCCAGCGGAAAGGAATGCGCTTCAAGGTAGGAGCCCTGACAGGCGAGAATGTGTAACCCTCCCTCCTCTGTCCGGACCCCACGCACGCACGCACGCAGCGTACAGACGAGAGTGCTCCCCGTTGAAAGGCTCTGCCTGGCTGAGACTGACTGACCAGTTGTCAGGTTCATTAGACGGATGCCCTGGCTTCATGTCACTGTGGAGGCTGCTGCCACAGTGGTCAGGCTGCCTGGGTCCTGTGTGCCACCCTGCTGCCCAGGTGTGTGGCTGGCTGTAGGCTTGAAGGATCCCTGGCTACAGTAGAGTTTGATTTGTTAGATACAGGTTCACGTTACAAACAGTGTGACTTTTCGTACTTGGATGGCAACCTGAGAGCAACAAGCTTGTTAGCTGAGGGCCAGTCTCCATCACAGCTGCCTCGTTTCCCCCTTGGCAATCAGAGGCAGCCAGAGCAGCACGAAAATCATGGGCCTGGCTGTGTTCTGGTCAAACTTCATTCACACAAACTGGCCAGATAAGGGCACAGCTTGCTCTAAACCACGGATACAGGAGAATTACTTGAGCTTCCCTTCAGATATTTGTACCTGATTTCACTGGTTGCTAAAACTCTAAATTTTCCTACATGGTAGCATTTCCCAGCTCCCGCCCAGTGGAGAGCAAAGCCATATGTGGGACTGCCTTGTGCCTGTCTGCCTGGGCTTGTGGAGTTGCAGGGAGGCTGGCCATCTCTAAGGTGGGCGTTAGTTCTGTCCTGAAGCAAATGAGTCATAGCCAGCACACAGAGGTGAGCAGCTGAACAAGCCAGAGCTGCCGCATGGCCCTTCCAGTCACTCTGAGCTGCACACAGCTGGGCCCCAGCTCAGTTTCCGTCGGTGTGTTGTGCCCCCCGGTGGCTGCACATGCACACTGCACAGAACTGCTTCACAGCATGAGGGCCTCAAAGAGCCCGGATTTCTAATGTCTCCCCAGGCCCAGTTATCCTAAGTGCACCTTATCCTTGTGGGGGCTGCAAGAGCAGATTGGTGGGAGTTGTCAGAACTGAAGGGCGGGGGGACCTCACGCTGCCCCCACGGAAGCAGAGTGGGACTGAGCCAACAAGGAGCTCTGAAGCATTGGGGTAAGGCCGTGGGTCGGGTTTGGGACACCTGGGCGAGTGGGCAGGTGGCCCTGGAGAAGAGCCGTGGAAACTGAAGAAGCTGTAGGTGGCCCGGAGGTGAGCTCTGTGGAGCCAGTCTCTGGTGCCATCTCGCTTTAGGCACATGGCACTGCTCTCACCTGTCCGCCGAGAACAGTGGGTCCCAAACTTATGTGGCCTACTGCCCCCTTCTCAGAAAAAGACACTGATCCAGAACACCCTATTCATCTCCGAGCACCTTAGAAGAAAGGAAGAGAACGGGGCCAGAGCCAGGCGGTTAGAACCCGTCCATGGCACTTGGTAGCTGGAGCCTTTGTTGGCTCCTCTGTACCACGGGCTCCCCAGGCCCCTCTGGGGCTTGGGTGGGACTCAGTGAGCACTTGGTGGCGGCTCGTTTCTTTCCACCTGCCTGACCCGCTGCAGCACGATGGGGATGGCGGCCTGCCTCTCCTGCCCTCCCACGGAGAGCCCAAGGTCAAGGTGACACCTCCAAGTCCTGACATTGTGTGTGATCTTGCCTTCTTCCCTTGATTTTGTTGTTCTTTGTTCTACAATAATAAACATTTCCTTTCCAATACTTTCGTAAAAGAATACTTTAGAGAATAAAAAAGAGAAAACTTCTGGCAGAAATACAAGAGACCCCTCAAAATGGGCCTGGGCAGTATTGACTGAAAGTAATTAAACCAAAACCCAAACTCGCTGCCGTCAAGATCCCGAGACGTAACTGCTGACGGGAGTAGAAAGCCCGTCTTTCTCCTGAGGAGCTGCTGGTGGTTTTGAACTGCCCACCAGCTGGATGGCAGTACAGTGCTTAACCACTGCATCACCAGGGCTCCCCTCATATATTAGAGAATCCTTAAACTCTTCATCACCCCAGTTTAGGTGAACCTCTCGGGAGCAAACAAGTTGGACAGAAGCAGCTTCTCATGGTTTTTGCTTCCTCCTCTGGGTACCAGGGGAGCCCTGCTGGTATAGTGGTTATGTCTTGGGCTGACTGCAAGGTCAGCAGTTTGAAACCACCAGCTGCTTCGAGGGAGCAAGATGGCGATTTCTACTCCCATCCAGAGCAACAGTCTTGGAAACCTGCAGAGGCAGTTCTGCCTGCCCTGTGGGGTGCTGTGAGTCGGCATCAACTCGGTGCCAGTGAGTTTGGTTTGGGAGTGCTAGGGAACTCTCCTAACCTCTGGCCACTCCACACATGTTGTCAGCCCATTCACACTGCACCCCAAAATATAATGCCTTGCTTGTGCTGCAGACAGACAACTTGGGGAAATTCTGAAGACTGCGTGGTTTCTGCTCCACGCAGGCTGCCTGGCGAGGATGCCTGGTGCGTAGCCGGCTCCTCGTGCTTCTCTTGCTCCCACCTGCTTCAGCTCTTTGCTCCAAAGGATCTTTATATCACATACTGAAGCTCCCACAGGGGGCTGATCATTTGCAAAGTCATTTCATTACTGTGATAGGATCTCCAGGTAGGTGCCCCTGCTTCCTGGAGGGTGTTCCCCAAATCTCTCCAGGAAAGAAGCAGTGCTTTCCCAACCTACCTGAAGTGAAACCTGTTCTTCGGAAGTACTCTGGGTATTTGTGTACCCCTCCTACATCTATGGCCATACCACCCTGAAAGTGCCCATCTTGTCTGTTTACATGCCCCCCCGGGGGGGGGGGCTGTAGATCTTTGTTGGCCCAGTGGTTATGTGCTCCGGTGCCAACCAGAAAGTTGGTAGTTTGACCCCACCAGCCGCTCCATGGGAGAAAGATGGGGCAGTCTGCTGCCGTGCAGATTCCCAGCCTTGGAAAACCTGCGAGGCAGTCTGCTCTGCCCGACGTGGTCACTGTCAGTCAGAATCGACCTGATGGCAAAGGGTTTGAGTTGACCTTGGGGATTGCAGGCCTCCTGGTTGCACAAATGCTTAAGCTCTTAACTGTGAGCTGACAAGTGGGCAATTCGAACCCCCACCCAGAGGCACTTCAGAATCCAGGCCTGGCTTCTGCAGAGCTGCAGCCTTGAAAACCCCGGGGGAGCAGTTCCGCTCAGCTTGGGGCCCTCCCTGAGCTGGAGTTGGCTCATAGGCAACTCCTGATGGCAGTGTGACTGTGCGTGAATTGTCGCGAGCATTGCTGTGTGTCCAAGCACACTTGTCTCTGCTCGCTCCCTAGAGCACCCAGGCCACCCATTTAGTCACAGCTGCAGCAGCGTGCACATGCGCGTCGTCGTCTACCTCAGCAGACACCACCACCACCACCACCACCACCACCCCACCCCCGCCTGTGTGTGTGACATCATTTCAGTGGGTCATTGTGGTGTCTCTTGATGCCCCTGGAAGCTCTCGTCCGCCTTCTTCAGTGGTAACGACTGCCCGCCCCACGTCCCTTAACCAGTGTCTCTGTGCTTTCTCCCACAGCATCAGCGGCAGCTCTCTTTGCCACTCACCCAGTCGAAATCGTCTCCCAAGAGAGGCTTTTTCAGGGAGGAAACAGACCACTTAATCAAAAACCTCCTGGGCAAGAGGATCAGCAAGCTCATCAATTCTTCGGAGGATCTCCAGGACAACTTCCGCGAGTTCTACGACAGCTGGCACAGCAAGCCCACCGACTACCAAGGCCTGCTGCTGCCTCACCTCGAGGGCCCCGAAATCAAGGTCTGGGCCCAGAGGTACTTGCGTTGGATCCCAGAAGCCCAGATCCTGGGCGGTGGCCAAGTGGCCCTGATGAGCAAACTCCTGGAGATGCTGGAGGAAGTGCAGAGGCTGCAGGAGCAGGTGGAGGAGCGGCACCACAGCCAGGCGGCCTTGCCGGCGGAGGTGCCCCCAGCGCCCAGGCACTCCGCCCGCCTGTCCTCGCTCTTCCCCTTTGCCCTGCTCCAGCGCCACTCCTCCAAGCCTGTGCTGCCGACCAGCGGCTGGAAAGCCCTGGGAGACGACGAGGACTTGGCCAAGCGAGAAGATGAGTTTGTGGACCTGGGGGACCTGTGACCTGTCCCCTTTCTCCTCCCATCTCCCCTGCTTGTCGCGGCAGCGGGGGGTGCTGACATGGGGCGATCACCCTCTGCATCTCTGGATGGGGCATCAGGCCGGAGGGCCCTCAGGAGCAGGGCGGTCTCGGTTCTGTTCGTGGTCTGCAGACGCTGCGGTGAGGATGCCTGCCAGCCGAATGGCAAGCCGTTGGTTTCCTGATGCCTCAGTATTAGCACACGAGACCTGCCCCCTTCCCACCCCCCACCCCCCTCCTAAAGGGCTTTTTGTAAGATCCTCTGAACTCCGTGCTCCTTCAGATGCTCTGTGCCAAGAAAATGTCCGAGCCCGTGGGCGGGACTAGCCAGCTTCTCCGTGGCCCACCCCAGTTAAGCAGGCGCAGTTTTCTTCACACGTGTGCGTGGTGAGTAGAGCTGTGGGGAAGGCCAGCGTAAATAAAGCATCCACAGCAGTTTGCCTGCCTGCATCCTCCAGTGGGGGAAAGCCGGGGAGCTGCTGGCCTGCCAGCTGGGTCTCATTCGGGTTTCAGAACAGCCCCGCCCTCTCCCATGTGCTGCCCACAGGCTCCCCTCCCTGCCCTCCCAGCCTTGGTGCCCAGAGCCCCCCAGGTTCATGCTGCTAAACCCGTGGTTCACCTGGGGGCGTCCCGTGAGCTCCCTGCCTGAGCGAGCCCCTCAGTGATGGAGTGAGTGGTTCCGCCCTTCCTAGTGCCTCTTGCCACGCCGACCACCTGGGACCTCAGCCCTGGAGGGAGGAAGGAAGGGGATGGTGGTCACAGTACCTCAGCGACATAAGAAGCCATAGAAGAAACTTGATTCTGCCAGCTCACCTTCTGGGACCTGCTGTCGCAATGGACCGCTGTCCCTCCACACAGGAAAGCACGTTCTATGAGCATCGGCGTTTCCATTCCTGAGGGAACCCCACCGGATCCCACCAGAGGACGTTCAGAATAAACATGTAAAAAGCCTCCTGCAAGACTGTTTCAAACCGAATGTTGGCCTGTGCGTTAGCTCTCCAGTGTTCATTGTTTAGGAAAACACTCCGTGCTCAAGGGAAGTAAGGGCCCTGAGAGCCGGGGCCGAGTTGAGCCTGCGTGTGCCCCGAGCGGTCAGTAGTCCCCGCGACGAGGGACAGTCACACGCCACGTCTTGGTTGCCTTAAGCATCTTACTGGCGAGGTCAGTGTGCGGCGCGCAGTAGGGGTTTTCAAGACATACTAGCTCTGTAGCACCTTCACCTGCGCCCCAGGGCCTTCTGGCGCTAGCACTAAGCCCGCTCCCCTGCCCGTAGCCTCCCAGATTCACTACGGAGCAGACTATTTTTGTTACATATTACAGCGTGGATATTTATACGGTTGCCTCTTCACCCTTAGGATCTCAGTAGTTTTCACAACCATAAAAGTGCCCCGTGTGACGCTTCACACACCAGAGTCTGGTGGAAAGGCACAAGGTCATGGCCACTGTCACAGCCGTTTGAACGTGCTTTGCTCTATTTTTCTATGCTTTTTTAAAGTTGCAATACAAAAATAAGGAAGCTGTTGTCACATGTAAAGCTGTGGCAATTTATGTATTTATATTTGCAGTCAGATATCTATGCCTTGTTTGTGTGTACAGAGTTCTCAGTGGGTTTATATATTGTGGACTCTTTCTTCAGGACAGATGTGGATCAAACAGCGGGAAGCAGAGACCGTTGACTTTGTTGAAAATGCTGCACTGTGCGAGTTTGGACATGTAATTACTGTAGATAGCATCTTGAGTTTGTTTATACCTCCGAGTTTTTACACTGAAGAGAAACTAGCTTTAATTACATTCAAAACGCCCCCCTGCCACCCACCCACCCCTTATCCCAAGGGAAGAAGCTGTGGGGCTGAATCTGTATAAATGTGCTGTTTATTTTCTGGTTGGACCGCAAAAGTTTATACTTGCATCCCACTGCATCGTATCTGATTGCAGAAATTAAAGCACAATTTAAAACAGTACTGTCTTTGGTGTAATCACTACAACCCTCTTGAGTCTTTACTTTTCGCCGGCTCGGGAAAGGTGGTCGCAAGAGGTGAAGCACCCAGAGGCAGCAGCTAGACGCCCTCAGCTGCTCCGTGGGCGAGAGAAGAGGCTCTGGACTCCCGTAAAGAGTGACTGTCTCCGAGCCCACAGGAGCAGTCCTGCGGGGGTCGCTTTGAGTCATCATCGGCTCGGTAGCAGCAAGTGTGGCCTTCCAGGGGGTTATTTAAGAACCCACCCAGAGGTGCCTCGGAAGGAAGGCCTGGCCAGCACGCTGTGGAGTTCCGTGCCGTCCCCACCCTCCTCGAGTGCCGGCCTCCCAAGTCACTGCAGACGAAGGCACCGCGCTTAGTCGGGTTTGCTTGGTTCTGGGCTGTGCCGGGGTAGGGGTGGGGGTCCCATGGCAGCCAGCGAGGAGGCCACAGCCTGCTCTCTGAGCCTGGGGTGGGGGGCGGGGGGCGTGAGGGAGGGTTGGTACAAGGAGGGTTAAAACCACACCAGCCACCCTGGAGTCAGTTCTGACTCTTCATGAGCCTTGGACAGGGCAGACCTGCTCCTGTGGGTGTCCGAAACTAACCCTGGGAGCAGAAAGCCTCACCCTTGGATGGGTGGGACTACAAGGAGCTGGAGGAAAATGAAGGGGGGGGTGGTCCCTATCAAGTGACTAAGGCAAAAAGGACTTTTTTTAGATTCCTGAAATGCAGTCTGGCTGCCCCCTGCTGTGTGGACATGTATGAAACTAGAGATGCCCTCGTGACTACAGGGCTGCTCACCGCAAGGTCAGCCGTTCAAAACCCCCAGCTGCTCCACAGGAGAAAGATGATTTCTCCTCCTAGAAAGAGTTATGGTCTCAGAAACCCACAGGCAGGACTTCCCTGTCTTCTCCGGTCACCGGGAGCTGGAGTCGGGTACGTGACACTGAGTTTGAGTTTTCATTCCCGGAGAGGTCTCGGTTGGCTTAAGAGAGACAGGCTTTGCTTTCCTTCCAGAGAAAGTACGCAAGTGAGGTGATTTATGAAGAGACTCTTGTTTGCCAATTCGTTGTGCTTAACATTTAAAGATAGCGACCTGTCCCTTGTCTGTATTCTAGAATTCCATTTCCCTGACCTTTCTTCCTCTGCAGCCTTCTTGCCTGCACCGCTACCCCCATCCCTGCATGTCCCCCCATCCTGAAGACATCCCTGGAAGTTATAAGCCCTCGTGGCTGCCCCCATCTTTTGAGGTACTTTAATTCTTTGATGTTTTATCAAAGTTCCCCATAGCCGTTTTGACCATTTTATCTCCCACCTTTGCTGAGCGCTTGGACTTGATGCTGCATCGCCGGTCTCCCCCTCTGAGTTTTGCTCGTCTCTGTGAGAAATGGCAGGGCGCATGAATTCAGCTCCATGCAAACCCCAGGCCAACTCCTCCGTTAATACCGGCCTGGCCTCCTCTGGCACTCTACCTGTCTGTCCTTGCTTGCTGGGTTCGCAATGGCCACACCGAGCTCACAGACAATATTCAACCATCTTGGGGCTCAATAGGGACGTTAACAAGCCACCCCAACTCAGGCTCAGAAAACAGTCGAGAGAGTCCTTTGTCCGCAGGTTCGCACTTCTTAGCGGCCACACCCGTCTCTGGTCCTCAGCTCAGTTGCATGGTCTCTTGGTCTTTGCTTCTGTGGTCCCAGAAGCCTGCCTGCCGTTGTACCTTACTGTCCCATGGTCACAACGGCACAGACCTCTGCTCTGTCTCACCCTGGCTCCTTTGCTCTGCCCCATGGTCTCTGCGCCACAGCCTACCGTGCCTCTGGGCTGTGCCACTTCAGCCAGAGATCTCCAACGTGCTCCGCTGCAGCCTCTTCTTCCTCGATGGTGCCAGGAATTCTCTCTTCCGCTGCCGAGATGTCTCCTGACACCCAGACGCCAAAACACCAAGCTCATGGCCACGAAGCCCATGCTGACTCAGCCACCCAAGGACAGTAGAACTGACCTGGGGTTCTGAGACTAAACCTTCACAGGCGTAGAACGCCTCATCTTTCTCCCTTGGAGTGATTAGTAGTTTTGAAATGCTGACCTCTTGGTTAGCAGCCCAATGCGTCGCCCCCTCCTCCACTAGGACCCCTCTGCTCCCCCGTCCAAGTGTCTCGCACACCTTACTTGCGTGGCCCAGCTGATCATTTGGTGGGAGTTACAGACATGAAGCCATTCCGAGTCATGGAACCTCACCACATCTTGGCCTCTCTCCTGCTCGGGACCCATCCTGCCCACCTCCTGAGGGGGGTCCACAGGAAGGGATCCATGTTCCCCTCCATGTGAGAGGGGTGGGGCATTTCTGTGAGAACTCACTCCAGGCCTCCTTGACCTTCATGTGGCCTCAGTCTCTTAAGAAAGAGTCGAGGGACCCACGAGCCAGGTCCGAAGCCAGTTCTCTGAGTGCCTGTTGAGGTGGTCGAAGTAGCTCAGCAAGAAAAAGTCTTGGCTAGGGTTCGGCCTCATGCAGGCCTTGGCATATTAGACAGTCACCCTTGGAAAGGACAGATTGGGACTGGGCACCCAGGATCCCAGTGGCCTGCTGAAGGCACAGGACCTGTAGTGGCACCTGATCTGACCGCACTGGGCTTGCACGTATGTTGGTAACCAGATAGGCCATGGTTAGCATATAAGGTTGCCAGCTGTCCTCGGGTTGACCACGGTGCAATGAAGCAGCATACTTCCCAGTCCTGCACCATTGCCGTGAGCGGTGGCTGATCAGACCATAGATTTTTCATTGGCTGATTTGAAGAAAGGCCAGACCTTTCTTCCTGGTCTTAGTCTGGAAGCTTCACAAAGTAACCCCAACCTATCCAGCAGCATAAGATCCTGCAGGCCTCCCAGATGGGCATGTGGTGGCTCCCCATGAGCCTGGGATCCAAACAGGGTCTCCCCCATGGGAGGCAGGCATCTATCCCTGACCCTAACCCCCACTGCTTCTTATAACAAGTGTTTTGAACATTATATACAGAGGGGTAAAGTCATGTGTCCAAGTATGTTTGCTTTAAAAAAGAAAAAACAGACACCTTAGCCTATTTTGTGGTTAGACCAGATTTTTTTTCCAACCTCCTATTAGACACAGTTTACCTGTAGTAATGAAAGGATATGAAGTGTATAATCACGGAAAAACACACAGTTGGCTTCTTCGGCTTTTTTTTTTTAAGTTTCCAGTTTTGCTAACTAGTCCACTTTCAGTTAAGCAAATCTTTTTTTTTTTTTTTTAACTGAATAGACTGTTTTTGGAGCCATCTTAGGTTAATAGGAAAAGAACAGCTAGTACAGAAAGCTCCCTCCGTGTGTGTGTGTGTGTGTGTGTGTGTGTGTGTGTGTGTGTGTGTGTGTTGGAAAATGATTTTCACAAAAGCTTGTGTGGCCCCGAAACTTTAGCTACAATCTGGAGGGCGGGGCTTTTCTGATGCTGTATGCGCTTCACCATGCAGCGGGGCCACCAATGTACCCCTCACTTCCCCCAGCAGAGGGGCGCCAATGTTCTCCAGTGTGCACCCTGAAGGCCTGGACTTGGAAAGCTACTGCTGGGCCTTCCAGGGAAGTTCTGCAAACAACCTCCCCTGCCACCTGGGCGGCTGCGGAAGAAACTCAGGAGAGGCTGCCGGGGGTGTGGGGTGAAGGGGGTTGGGGTGTATGTCCTGCACTGATAGTCACACTCTGTCTTGATGAGGATTTGGCTTACTGTGTGGGAAAGGGGCCAGCCTCTTACCACTAATCACGGGTTCAGTAAGCACAATTATACGGTTAAGATATATATAAGGATTAAAATAAAGCCATAGAGAGCATGAGAGATAGAAGAGAGAGTCAAATAAATAAGTCAGACACATTTCATGGTAGCATGCTCACCTCCTGGATGGCCATGGTCTTAACGGCCAGGTCCGCGCACAGCGTGGGCCAAGGAGAGGTGGGGCAGAGACCCTGCAGGAGGCCGGAGGACCCCGTTTATTGCTAACCAAGGGTTATATCTACTTGGGCGTGATTCAGGTAACCACAAGTCACAGGAAGGGGCAGTACAATAAGCATACACATCATAGGAAGGGGATGTACAATGGGCATAGGCGTAGCAGGAAGGGGATGAGCTAGGGCTATACGCATGAGAGGAAGGGGAGGAACTAGAGGTATGCATGTGACAAGGGCGGACCCTAGATTCATGATGGCGGCCTGACCTTGGTCATCCTTGGGTGGGCTTGACCTCTCTGGGGTCTCCTACAAGGAAACAGACAATTACTATCCTTATCAGAAGGGAGTGGGCCCTACTTGTGGGATAAACTGGTGATGTTTGCTCTAGATGGCTGATAACCCTTAGGGAGAATAACCCCTGACCTACTTCTGTTGACCTCCAAGTGTATAGTCATCTGTCATGTGTAGCAAGCAGCTAAGTTTGGGATATATTTGGGGAAGACAACTTGGGAGAAATCTTTCTGTTTCTCACAGCTTACTTACTCACTCACTCACTACCATTGAGTCCCTGCTGACCTGTAGCAACCCTGTAGGACAGAGTAGAAGTGCCCTTGTTGGCTTCTGAACTGTGACTCTATGGGAATAGAAAGCCTGGCTTAGGGAGATAGCTCTCAAAATCAGCAAATACACATTTGAGGCTCGTGTGTTTCAGAGTCCGTAAATTTACCTGAAAACAAATACTGACACTCTCACTCACTCACTCACTCTCACTCACTCACTGACTCTCTCTCACTCTCGCTCACTCACTGACTCTCACTCACTCACTCACTCACTCTCACTCACTCACTCTCACTCACTCACTCACTGACTCTCACTCACTGACTCTCACTCACTGACTCTCACTCACTCACTCACTCTCACTCACTCACTCACTCTCACTCACTCACTCACTCTCACTCACTCACTCACTCTCACTCACTCACTCTCACTCACTCACTGACTCTCACTCACTGACTCTCACTCACTCTCTCACTCACTCACTCACTCTCTCACTC